TTTTCACAAAGTATGTATTAGAAATTATTCTTAATAAACAATTGCTAATTTTTTTTTAGTTTATCAAAAATCAAAAAGGAAGAAAATCTAAAAACTATAAGTAATTTAATTTAATTAACTATTTCCTAGGATCAATTAACAAAAATTATTCAAAGTGATACATTATCAAATTCAGAATTTAATATAAAATTAGTATAATTAGTTTACTTAATATAATTATATAATTATAATTATATATTACATAATGTATATAATCCTATAAGAATGTATATTAATATTCTTTATAAAAAAAAATAAAAAAAATTACTAAATAATATATTTTTTTAATATATAACTTTATTTAAAAATATTACAAAATTTTAAATTTTTTTTTGTAATTTTAGTATCAAAATTATTTATATTTAATTTTTATTAAGAAAAGATAGAGGTTTATAATAAAATTTACTGTTAAAATATTTAATGTTATATTGCAATTTAAAATTAGTAGTTAGAAACCTTTGACCGATATATTGCATCCGTAACGCAGCATATATTTGACGAACTCTACAAATATGATTTTAAGATGCTGAAATTTTTTAAATATCGATTATTATAATTATAATATAAATTTAAAAAAGACACATATTTCTATATAGGGTTTAATTTAAATCCATTTCACATTATCTTTGGATCAAAAATTTAGACTACAAATCATATATATTTCGGAATAGAAACTCCTTTTAATCTTATTTTAGAATTTTAGAAATTGATTGGCTTTGATAAAAAATAGATGGATAACGCAAGCAAACCGGAAACCCCTACATGAGTGGAATCTAGAATCGATGAGAATTTTTTTTTTGTATGGAATGTTTTTAATGAATGTGGAGTGTTTCATACGTGGAATGATAAGGGGTAGAAAACTTGATTTTTTTTTTTTTTCATTCGAGTTTTAATTAACGCCAAATATGATCGTACCTTTCAACAAAATATTTTTTAAAATCAGGAATTTATCAATGATATTATTTATTTATTTTAATAGAGTACACTTGATCCACATAATGCAGAAATCTTGTTACTTTACAATAAATGTAAATTTTAATGTATAAATCTTTACCATTCTTCATCATCCTGCTACGCGATTAACAGAGGTTCGTTTTCAAAACGTTTCAAATTAATTGAACAACACTTTCATAAATAATCAATATAAAATTTCAATATACAATTTATTTTCAGGAACGCGTATTACAGTATTTATTAATATATAAACAAGTTAAAAAGGTTATTTGTATATCGTAAAATCAACCTAATATTTTCACGATTTCACTTCATTACAAAGAATTAGATGATTTTTCATATAAATACCTTGGCTTTTGTCTTGAGCGTGCTAGCCAAAAAATTTTATTCAAAGAAAAAAAAAAAAAGAATTAAAATGACTGATAGACAAACTTATATCCCAAAGGCATGCGATGTTTGTAGGAAAAAAAAAAAGAAATGTCACAAATCTCATAAACACAATCCTTCTTCCCCTACAAAAAAAAGAGGAAGAAAAAGAAAAGGTAAAGAAAAAACGAATATCTCTTTTTATTTTTTTAATGTTCGTGAAAAGTAATTCATAGTGAATTTTTTTTACATTAAAGTTTCTTGCCAACCCTCGTCCCCACCATCATCTCCACCATCATCCCCATCCCCACCGCCGCCGCCGCCGCCACCACCACCACCATCATCGTACCTTTGGTCAAATTTATAAAAAAAATTTTTTTAAATCAATAAATATTTGGAATAATAATAATAATAATAAAGTTGTAAACTAGTAGTGCGTACTCCTTGCATAAATCTGCTAGCTTGTTTTTCATTTTTGTGACTACACGCAAAAAATTCTTCTATTAAAATAATTTTACCAAATGTAAGCACTTATGATTAAACCAGAAATTCAACCAGGAGCGTAGCGAGATTTCAATACATCCGAATAAAAACGAAACATATGTGATGTCATTGACGCCTTACTTCGATTGATTAAATAAAATGCAATTTTTTACTTCACAATTTACTAAATGTTTTATACTTCTCGGACCGATTTTCATGTTACTCAAATTTCCGTTCATTAAGCTTTCAACGAGTTTTAATTTGATGGATGTCATTTAAAGTCATAAAAGTTGAAGTCAATCAACCGTAACGGAAAATGTGGTTAAGCAAATTCACCACGTTCAAAAGAGTCTGGCATGATTTTTAATAAAAAATATCTTTAAAATTCGGTGTATAAAAGTTTGCTTTAAAACAATGTTTCAAGAGATATCAAGAAGCATTTATCAAAGATCAATACATTAGCGTGGTGAGACGAGCCGTTCAACCTTAAAAAGCCCAATTGCAATAATAAAATGCCATATTTAAGGTATCCCATTTCATTAAAAAATAAATAAACAAATAAATTTAAGTCGTTGCACGTTTTTTAAACAAAAGATTTTTACTATTCCATTTAATTAAAATTTTTATAATACAGTCTATCATAATAAATATACTGACACCTGTTATTTTAGCAAGAATAAAAGCATCAAAATAAGACTAGACATGCCAAAAGAGAAAACCGATTACAACTCGTTGATATCAGCTGCTGAGAAACCCATGACATGGAATCAACTGTTTTAAATATTCAAAAAAATTTTTATTCTTTAGAGATAAAATAAAATTTAACTTTTTTATGATTTTTCTTATTATTAAAATATTTATAAATAAAAAGCAAAGATAGATTATTAATTACATTTCATAAAAATTTAATTGCTGTTATTGCCCGGAGGACATTCATTATATTTTTACGATGTGTTGAAAAAACTAAGATCACGTGAATTTTACCGGTTGTCCGCACGCGTCAATTCTGATTGGATATTGGTATATTTAATTATTATTAAAAAAACTTTTCGTATAATTACTTGGAAATAATTTCCAAATGATGATTAATTTTTTTTTGTTACCTGACATTCAAATTGTTCAAAACAATCTTCGTCCCATTGAATTGCACAAGGTCATAATAATTTCGCGATTACCGAATGTAAAAAGAACGTGCTGTATCAAATATTTTGCCAGATGAATTAACGGTGGGGGTTTTTTTTGTTAGCCAATCTAATAAACTTATGTCATTATGTCATTCGATACATATGACAAAACAACTTTTCCGCGTCAGTACATAGGAATATGATATCTGGCGCAAAAGAACTTTGACGTTGGATGGATGTAAGTATGGCCTTTCCGTTAATCTTTTTTTAAGAAATAGAAATAAGATATTCAATATCTCGGACAGGAATTTAGGACGTATTAATCTGGAAGATATCTAAACAAAAAATAAGACCAATTTGTTGAAAATTAATAAATTGATTTATTGATTTTCAAAAAATCCTGTACTCAACGACTATTACGTCTATATTCCATAGGAAATCGAATAGCTATTTTTTTAAGCAGATATTAGATATTTATTTATTATCATAATTATTTTAAATTGAAAAGAAAGACGATATACTTACACCCATCTTTGCGCGCCAGAGATCATATTCCCATGCACTGGCGACGGAAAAGTTTTTCTGCTATGTGTAATCGAGTGACATAAAAATATGAGTAAAGTTGATTGAATAACAAAGATAACCTATTTAACAGTTTGAAATATTCTTTTGAAAGGCGGAAAATAAAAATTCTTTTCAACGTGTTAAATACTACATTTACTTTTCCTATGTATGCATATTCTAATTTCAGATTCACATGACTGTAAATGGAACTTCTAAAAAGAAAAACAATACCATTTTATGAACCTATTATTTGAGGTTACAATTTTATGTCGATGAAACTGTATCACAGCTTTTGTTACTATTTTTAGTTTGTTAAGAATAAGTAAATTCAGATCTGCAAAATTCCTGCCTTCTCTAGTAGAAAAGGAATCTATTCAAGCTAACCTTAACCGGCAAGATAATCATTTCTATGAAATAAATATCATCAATATTTGTTGTATTTTAAACTTTTTTAACTTTTAAAACACATGTTACTATTTTATTAGCCAATAAAAATATTGTTTATTTAATAGGTACCGCATCTACGGACTAGCAAATCATACCTCCGAGATGCGTCAAAAATTTTTTAAGGAGACAAAATATATCGATATTAAAAAAAAATTTGTACCACATTTCTTATCAAATAATCTACCTGATGTCCTTATGTAAATGGGAAATTTATAGCGAAACAAGTTTCTAGGAAGTATAAGAAAAACAAAAAATAAAATGTAATATCTAAAAGTTCGTGTTGATGATCATTTTTTAATATCCAAAATTAAACTTTCTTCGCCATGCAGGTTCATTCTTATTGTGTGCTTATGGACACAATGTATCGTTTAAACGGTAACACATAGTTTCCTGATTAAAAATTTTATACTTTTTTGGTTCCTATAAAGACAATGAATAAATGAAATATCAAATTGATTGATTGTTCTGAAACCTTCTTTGATATTGACTTCCATTAATTAATTTGCAATTTACAGATACGTTTCAAAAATTTTAAAACGTCTCCTGTATGACATTTTTGGGTCGCGCTTAACAAGTTTTTATAAAAATAAATTTTATAATATTTTTTAAAGACAACTTAACATACATTAATTATTAAAGTAAGAAGAATATTAAGTCGTATACTTTAAAAAAAGGTATATACCGTATTGCAATATATTGTAATTCATCAATTTTTCTTTATTTTTTTTTTTAAAAAAAAAATGAGTAATATTTTTAACCGAGATTATAAACAAAATAATCAAGTTTTTATGTTACAATCTTAAAATGAAAATTTCAACTTTTCATTATTTGGAAATGCACAAACGTGAAATTTAATTGATAATGTACTACCAAATTTTTCCGAAGGTATAAAATGTTGATAAACGCATTGCTCTCCAAAAATTTTTTATTGTGTGCTCAAATAACTTTCTTTTTTTTTTTGAAAAGAAACATAGAAATCTTCTACTAAATTAAATATCAATCCATCAATATAAAAGAAATAAAATGAATAACGAACAAGAATCTTCTCCTTATAATGAATTTTATTATTATGAAGATGAAATGTACAACGAATCATTTCTAACTACTCATCAAAACAATCAAGTTTCCACTCCACGCATTTATGAACCTTATGAGCCATCTTCTATAGAACCTTATGAACCATCTTCTTTACCTTGTACATGCTGCACTTGTTCCTCAAATTCTTTACCTCCAATCCTTACTCCGATATTTCAAATCGAAAATGCTCTAAATGATAGTGATAAAGAAAATGAAAAAAATGAAAACGTTGACACTATTTTAGAGCAATTTACCAATATTACAAATCAATATGAAGAAAATGATGATAATAATGATCATGTTGTTCATCATAATCAATTACAAACTCAATCGCAACAGACTCCATATATGTACGATACGAAATTTTTAGAATATACCGATCCTTTGGAAGTGAGCAGCAAAAGAATGGATCCAAAATTTATAAACTCGGAATCAAATCTATTTAATTGGACCTTTGTCGAAAATTCTGCACCATTATATTTTGACAATATGTATGATACTGCCGATGGATGCTTTAGTTATGCAGGATTGCCAGCAGAATACATTTTTGACTTTAGTCAAAAATATTAATTACATCAATGTTATTTTTTTCAATACAAGTTAAAAAAGGTTGTTAGTGTAACCGGAAATTTGGAAAGTGTCAGTTTGTATGGAATCGAATGTGAGAATTATCGGTCTGTATCATTAGGACAGGGATATATATTATTTATCACTTATAAATAGAAAAATAATAATTCTTAATAGTTATTATTTACACCCAATAATTGCAAAATATCAAATAAAATCTTTCATGATCGAAAACATCATCAATATTTACAATGTAAAGAAAGAAATTATGAAGGTCAAGCCCAAAATCTTTCTCGAGTAACCCAACTGTAAATCAATTTTTTTTCACAACGTTAAACGTCGCACTAATGAAATTGCGCACATTATTTTATTATGCTAAATGTCAAAAAAAAAATTTTTTTGTGTCATATCATTCGAAAAACAAATAATTATCGTAGCATTGTCTTAATTTATTTTCTTATCAATTGAATTTTTTAACACTCTCGATCTCTCTCTCCGCGTTATGCAGGTTTATATAATAAAAAGATATATTATTTTTTTAAAACACATAATGAAATCTTAATTTTTGCTTATATGATTAAAGAATAAATTTATCGAATAAAGAGACGTAATAAAATAAATTAACGAAGGAAATTCTCAATTCTAGATTGTAGTTTTCGTTTGAACATTTTCGACAGTTCGTTCGTTGACTACATTTTATCGAATCATGGTGAAAAATAAAAGTAATATGATTAATATACAAGAGGGGACAAATGTAATAAGCTTTCGTAAATTTAAATTAACCGCTAATTTTCTTGTTGGCCTTTTTTTTTAAGAAAAATGCCTTTTCGTTGGTTTCTTGCAAGATTTCTGACTGCTTTTATAATTAAGGAAAGTTCTAATCAGCAGTTCTATCATACAGTGAAAAAAATATGATCATTGTTTGATGACATTAACCAGAATTTAGTGGTACAAAGGATCCAGAAGATGTCCATTTAATAGTTCTCATGTGGTCTTGAAAATTGTTTTTATCCAATCGGAAAATTTACAACTATTTTAATTTAAGCTTTTAAATTAAAAAAAAAGAGACTCATGGTAATTGAAAGTTTGAAAAAAAAATTCATGTATGATCATGAGTGGTTTACAAGAGCATCATTCTTTAGAAGAAATCTAAAAATCTAAAAAGAATTCCAAAGTAAAATTGCTCGAAAAATAGCATATGCACTGTAACAAAGCCTACATACATCTCATGTTATTGAACCATTTGTCTTATCAGAAGGTCAAATGGTAAGATAGATAAAAACTACTCCCATTAAAGTTGGACCACTGCCTCCGGTTTTGAGATGCAAGTTTTTATCTATATAGCTGATTCTGGAATACCATTGAGATATACAAATTTTTAGCTTGACTTTTAACTCATTTTGTTGTAATGGCGCGGTGGTACATGATCACTATAAAAACACTGGGTAGATCTGCGACAATTTTGCCTTTTGCTATCAGCTGATCTGTCACTTAATAAATTGGCATTTGAATCTGGAAATTCATTGATTCCATATGCATATGGGCGTTAATTGATATGAAACATATTATCATACTAGTTAATTACTATATATTTCATTTATGTTATATTATTTTAAAAAAATGCTGTTCATTTTTATATTTATTATTATTCAAGGAGATACAAACATGTTTATCTTACATATTTTCTTTGTTGGCTTACTTTTACTTTATCTTTTCTCAATAAAATAATTGGTACTGCATTCCGTCTCCTTTAAAAAATAAAAAAGCCACTTTTATTTATTGCATATTCCATTCATTCCATTTCCTTTTTTATGATTATTAAAAAACATATGAATTAAAAATAGGTCATTTGACTTGAAATTCCAACCAACACAGTTTGATATATGGCGACATCTAAAAAAAGAAAAGGTTTTCTCTAAACGTATCATGAATATTTTTCTGGAAATTTTTGAAAGAAAATGATTGATAAATATAAGCAGTTACATAAGCAGTTACGTGTAAACTTAATTAGGAATTGACTATAAAAATCACGTGACTAATCGGAATGTTATGAAGAATTCATGCGTCAATGATATAAATATTAAACGTTATTTAGGGCAATTGTGCGACGGGTATCGGAATTGTGTGACGGGTATCGGCAAAATTTTAACCCTTATCAGGATTCGCTTTCGTTTTTCTTTTTTTAAAAAAAAAAATTCAAAAAATATTATTGGCCTAATAAACAAATTATTCTTTTTTCTTTAATCAAATCAATAAGACAATAAATGTTCGTTGAAAGTTTCCACTTCACTATCATCAGTTTAATAAGATGATATCTATTATAACTTTTTAAAAAAATTTATTGCATTCACGTAAACATTTATGTGAAAAAAATTAAGAAAATCCTTCAAAATAAATCTTAGAGAACAAATAAATATTACTTTTATTTAGAACTTCAAAATATTGAGTAATCTATTGGAACTTCGTTGCTTTAAAAAAATATACTACATTTAAATATCCTTTTGTTTCAAAAAATTTGACGAGCTTTGGATCATTTTTTCTACCAATGTTACTTATCAATTTATCACATTCTTTAATAATAAACTTTTTGACCTAATATCACATTGGGGTGTCTGTTTATTTTACTCCACACATCACATTTAATTGATCATCCAAGATTTACATTAAACTGTAGGAATTGCATGTTGGTTCAAATGTGAAAAAAAACAAAAATAATGTGTCATCTGACTATTCAAAAAGAAAAGGATCTATTAATACCATTATTAACACTAAATTCACTCACAAAAGGAGAAATAAAAGATGTTTTAAGATTATTATTACAGGTTTGGAATGGATAGACAAAAAAAAAAAATGTAATAGATTATTGGAGTCATCATAATATCTTTTTTTATTATACTTGTGATTTATTTTCATATTAGCAATAAAATCTACAATATAAATAATTAAATTAAATTAAAAAAAATATAAATATATATACTTTAATTTTTGCTATTATCTATTTTTTAAAATAATCTTTTTTTTTCTCTCTATATTTCATAATTCAAAGTAAGAGTTTAATTAAATGTTTCTTGTAGCATATTAATTTTAAATTAATAACATATACTTTACAATATTATTTTCATAGTTTGTTTTAAGCTTTAACATTATTTTAATTATATTATTAATATTTCTAATTTTAGCTAGAATAAAATTATTCAAAGAAAATACTATATTATTTATCTTATAATAAGTTATTATTTTTACTAAGTTGCATATAAAAACTAAAACATTTATAAAAGGTTTTTTATTTTTAAAACTTTTATAAAATAAATACTTATTTTATTAAAAAAATCATTTTTTGTATTGTAATGAGTAAGTAATTAAAGATCACCTAATATAATAGATCATATAATTTTTACCTTGTTATATAATTTGCCAAATCTGCCTGATATATCAAATATATCATATATGAATACGTGAGAAATAGCAGATATGCCAAAATTTATTTTCTTAATATTTTTATATTTAATATTTTTATATTATCAAATTTTTATAAATAGAGTAGCTTTAAAACTTTGTTAATTATTATAAATCTTTAATATAAATTTACTTTAGTTTTATTGATAATAAAATAGTTGCTAAATATACTTGTATTAAAAGCAAATATACTTGTAATAAATTCTTTTATTTTAATCATTTAACCATAATTATATTTTGTCTTTAAAATACATTTTAATTATGCTAATCTTTGAAGCTCTTAATACACTTTCATTCTTTCATTTATAAATTTTAAAGCTAAATTATTATTTAACCTTATAAACATACTAATTTTTAATCATTAATACTGTAAGATAACAGTATTTTATATAAAATCCATCTGAAAAACTAACTCTATTATCTTAGAAAATCTTTTACTTCACATAAAAATACATATATTTTTATTGTAAAATGAAAATATTTATTTTTAAAACAAATTTTACATCAATGTAAAAAAAATGTATTTATTTAAAAAAAAAATAATTATCAAAAATAATTGAACATATGGGTAGTATTCTATTAAAATTGAGGTACGGATCATATAATTTACTATGTCTCGTAACCCACTTTTAATAGATCAACTCCCATATGATGTTCTATTAATCTTAATTAATATAAATGTAAATTAATTAATTTTTTGTTAGATATCTATAGAGTGAAATAACTCAATTAGAATTACATGAAATATTTTTTATTATCTGTTTATGATATGTTCAATGACTTTAAAAAAATAATTAAAAGTAAAGGTAATTACCATTAACTAAAAACTTTGAACTTAATAATTTATCAAAAATTAAATAAATTTATAAAATTAAATATTCTTTTACTTTTGTTTGTTCAATATTACCCTTTTCTTCAACCTATCAATATCTATCACAAATCTTTTTATTAATTTAGTTTTCAATTTTATATTATTTTTTGTTTCTTTTTATTTATTATATATTTCAAATTCATTTTTCTTAAATATTTCTTAAAATCTTTTCAAATTTTACTTGTTAATAATTTTATACTACTATATATATATTTATAAAAAATATGTTTATAAATTAAATAATAATAATTTAGTAATATTAATCTAATTGTATATTTTCTTTTTTTTAGTTTATCTATAAATAATTACAAAAGATTCTTTAATAAATAATTGTTATAGATTGCTAAAGAGAATAAAAAAACTTTAATAATATTATTTTTTATACTAAAAGTTAAAAAAATTTTAAATATGAAAATTAAAGGCAACTTTTCAAAGTCTAAATAATTTTTTAATCTAAAGCAATAATTTTATAAATTGCATTTATTATAAAAATATAAAATAATTTAATAAAATAAATTAAATATATTTATTAAATCATATAATAAAGATATTTTTTAAAAAAAAAAATTTATATTCAAACCTACTGAATAACCTTACTTAGGAACCTAAAGTCAATTTTCTTTAATCAAAATACTCATATATCTTTATGAATTAATGGAATAGATAAAAAAAATTT